GTCTCCACATCCATACTCTACTCCTGATCGTCACGAAAATATAAAGGATCCTTCCATTCAATATCAGAAATGTAACCTCAGAGGTAATAATATAGGGCATTTTGTATTACCTTTAATTGTTTCATTGATATTGACTGTGTTGAAGTATTATTATTTATTTTACACAGAATCAACAACAGCCAAAGTGACGACAGTACCACTGACGTCTGGAGCAAAAGCACAGACCACTGGTATGTAGATATGCCTACGTTGTTCTATATAATTATCATTATCCTTCCCAGAGACTTAGATATCTAAAAAAAATTATGATATATAATAGGGCCTATATATATCACACAACCCCTGCCCCACCCCCTTCCACACACACACACACATCAAATAGATAATAAAATAGAATTTTATTTAATTAAAGGTTAGTTAAGCTAAGCCTAGTTTAACCTAGGCTTAAGCCTAGGCAGGTTAGCTGGCCCTTTGTAGGCCATGGCCCATTACAGTAGTATTCTGTTACTGTCACAGAGTATATTTGTCCCCGGAACCTCACTCTTCGCCACTCTTTTATATCGTACCAAACAGTTTATCAACGAAAGTTATTAATTAGTTGTATGAAAAAAGAGGTCAGTTGTGGGAATCGCGAACCCGCAATTTATCGCTGTCTCGGTGAGCGTCATACTCTTTAGACTACAGAGGCCCGTAAGATATATTATTAGTTTCTAAGACCTGTGTATACAGTGTTATTATTTATTTTACACAGAATTAACAACGGCCAAAGTGACGACAGTACCACTGACGTCAGGAGCAAAAGGACAGACCACTGGTATGTAGATATGCCTACATTGTTCTATATAATTATAGTTATCATTATCCTTCCCAGAGACATAGATATCTAAAAAACATTATGATATATAATAGGGCCTATATCTATCACACAACCCCCTCCCCCACCCCCTTCCACACACACATACACACACACATCAAATAGATAATAAAATAGAAATTTATTTAATTGAAGGCTAGTTAAGCTAAGCCTAGTTTAACCTAGTCTTAAGCCTAGGCAGGTTAGCTGGCCCTTTGTAGGCCATGACCCATTACAGTAGTATTCTGTTACTGTCACAGAGTATGTTTGTCCCCCAGAACCTCACACTTCGCCACTCTTTTATATCGTACCAAACAGTTTATCAACAAAAGTTATTAATTAGTTGTATGAAAAAAGAGGTCAGTTGTGGGAATCGCAAACCCGCAATCTATCGCTGTCTCGGTGAGCGTCATACTCTTTAGACTACAGAGGCCCGTAGGATATATTATTAGTTTCTAAGACCTGTGTATACAGTGTTATTATTTATTTTACACAGAATCAACAATGGCCAAAGTGACGACAGTACCACTGACGTCAGGAGCAAAAGGACAGACCACTGGTATGTAGATATGCCTACATTGTTCTATATAATTATCATTAAAATCCTTCCCAGAAACTTAGATATCTAAAAAAAATTATGATATATAATAGGGCCTATATATATCACACAACCCCCTCCCCCACCCCCTTCCACACACACACACACACACACACATCAAATAGATAATAAAATAGAATTTTATTTAATTGAAGGTAAAGCTAAGCCTAGTTTGTCTTATTTGCCAACCTTCTTAAGCCGAGGCAGGTTATCTGGCCCGTTTTAGGCCATGGCCCATTGCAGTAGTATTGTTACTGTTCTTTAGAGAGTGGGTTTGTGTCACAAGTTCTCCCAGAATTCCAAAACAGAGACAGGACCTCGGCAATAAGTTACGATACGGAATTAAACTCGGGTTAAACTCTATTAACCACAACACATCACATTAACAATAAGTCCATCTAACTTTCGCAATTTATACCCTTAACACTTTGTATCACATAATTAACTAGTTGTGCACATTACC